TTCCGAAGCAGATGCTGCAGTCAACCAGCAAGTTAACTTATTTCTGCTATCATAGAAAACAGAGATTAAGGTTAGGTAACAGTAGGAGCACTAAAATCTATGTAGATGCCTCAGATGTGTTCCCACAGTGAAATGTGCCAACTAGCCCACAGCTCCCTTTGTTTGGGCACCTGACACCTTCCAGTATGCTGAATTACATGGAGCTCAGAGATTGTAGTCATGTAAACAGACAGGTGAACCTATTAAAAATAAGCTGACTTCACTTTTCCCCACTTTCTGATGGAATAGCTATCAGCTCAAGCAACTCACTCATTTTCCTCTGAAATGCAGATGGCGTCAGTGACAGATAAATTGATGTCTCCATGGCATTAAGTCACACCTCTTCAAACTTTGAGAGTATTGAACTTGTTTTTTAAAGCACAAGACCAAGACTTCTAAGAACAGGGGGAAAAAGATTATTGGTATATGTCCCAAAACAATTGTGAGACAACACTAAAGCAACCTGAGTTTAAGGATTTTTGGCTTAATGCGAAAAGGCAGATTTTATCAGATGTCACATTGGAGCCAAAGATGTTCAGAACTGCACTAATAACAGCAGCCAACACTTTTTTGTTTAAATATCTTGGTAGCTACCATGCTTGTGCATTTTTCAGACAGCAGTGAGTACTGGGGTATGACAGGCAAGAAACAGGAGTAATGTTGCTCACACCAGCATCCAGTTTTGCTGCTGACCTACCCTTGCTAAATGCTTAGAAAACGAGAACAGAGGAAGTCTTGATCATACACACATTCTCTTTCTGATCGCTCCAACTGCTTTGAATGGAGTGCTGAGTATATTTCTCGATTTTAAAGGGTAACCTGTGTGTATTTTTTCTTGCTTAAGCAAGCTTATTCTGTACAGGTTCCCATGTTTTTATTCTTTTTAGAATCTGACATTGCAACTCACAAAAATGTCTTCACAGGATCAGTTTTTATTTATGCTTAGATGATCATTGGCTGTTGATCAAATCAAGAGCCATTGTTCCTGGTCTCTTTAAGACTAGACACATCCATCTCCTACCTCGTTCCCATATTTTAGATATCCCATGTGAAAGTCTAATTCAGTTATTCTGGAAATTTCAATAAATTGTTCAATCTTAAAATTACCATAAGGTACTCTATACTTGTTAGAGGACACACAGAACAGGGAAAATGAACAGCTTCAAAGAGAAAAATCATTAAAGGGCAGTCAGCAGCAATTTCAGTGATAAAGTGACCAAATTAGTATTCAGTGGATCTTATTTCTTTTGACACTAACCCTCACTTGTTTTGATAAAAAGAAATGCTGTTTAAGTTTGGGTATAATGCAATATAGAGATGTTATGTATTTACTCCTTGGCAGAGGAAAAACTCCACAGGATTCGTAACTCGTGTCTTCACATAAAGCAGTTATCGTGGCGTTACAAGACAAACAGATGTTTTAATTTTGTTGTGGGACAACAACATGCACAGGAAAACTAACAGGAAAAAAATAAAACCAAAAAATATAATACAGATTCCAAGGGGCATTTGAATTAATTATCACATAGAATCACAGAATCCTAGGGATTGGAAGAGACCTCAAAAGATCATCTAGTCCAATGCCCCTGCCAGAGCAGGGTCACCCAGAGCACATCACACAGGAACATGTCCAGGTGGGTTTTGAATGTCTCCAGTGAAGCAGACTCCACAACCTCTCTGGGTAGCCTGTTCCAGTGCTCTGTCACCCACACAGTGAAAAAGGTTTTCCTCCTAGAATCATAGGCATTGGAAGGGACCTCTGAAGATCAAGTCCAACCCCCCTGCTGCAGCAGGAACACCATGTTTATGTGAAACCTCCTATGCTCCAGCCTGCACTGATTGCCCCTTGTCCTATCATTGGACACCACTGAGAAGAGCCTGACTCCAATCCTCCTGACACTTGCCCTTTACATTCAAGAATTTATTCCCAAGTGTAAATCCATGTTTTAGCATACAGCAAGATATTTATACTTAAGGACAGACAGCTGGCTTCACAATAGACATGGGATCAGGTTAATGAAGAATCTGTGCTTTGCTGTCTGTAATGTTAAAAGATTCTCCACTCTGGAATCCATCTCATCTTACCCAATAATTCAAAGAAATATAAATACATACAAGTGTGTCCATATGCAGATAGGGATGAAAGAGCATTGTTGTCAGTCTGAGTCAAAAGGTGACAAAAAGGCTGTACAGGGGTTTCACAGAACTAACAAGTACAGTGGTGCACATCTCAGCAACAGGCGTGACCCCACAGCACAGACACCCTTCAGAACTTTGCCCTAGCAGAAAGCTCCTTGATGTAACAACCCTCATACTAAGGCATTTCTTATTTCTATTTTGTATCAGTAGCATAGGAAGGATGCTAATTTGAAATTAACAGAAAACCTTTAAAATAATATAAAACCCCTTTTATTAATAAATTTAACATTTTTTCCATTGATTTAAACTTGCAGAAGAATACATGATACATTCTAAATATGCAGCCAAGGAAAAAATATGCAGCCACTGAAAAATAATATTAGAAATAAATAACGCAAGTCTGTAATAGCCAAATATTTTCTCAGAAATTTTGTAAACAGATTGCGATTGGGACCTCTCAGGAAGTACTGTATTTTAGGATTCTGAGAAATAAAATCTTAGAAAAACTGAAGTGCACCTCTTTTAAATATTCACATTTTATGTATTTATAAGCCTACATCAATATGCTAAACAAACAGACCTTAAAATTAAGTGAACACAGAAATGGAAATGCTGATAGGAACTGCCCCTCTGTGGCTTGCAGCCATTTAATTAGGATAGTGTGCTGTGCAACAGCACGTAAGGGTCCTCAAGGCAACAAATCTTTAAAATAATTGTATTCTAAACTCTCTTCAAAAGCAAAATAAGAGGCTATATTACATATCTTTTCTGAGAAAACCATGACTGCAAATAGATGAATAACATGGAAAAAGGGATTAATCTCTTCCCCATGTTCCCAGGGGCAAATGAGAACTCCCTTGAAACACACACACACATTTGGGCAGAATGAGTTTTAGTAATTAGTAATACAGCCTCTGAAGAGGTAAACAGTTTACTTCACTTTGTTTCCTCTGTTGCAGGAGACAGCAGAAATATGTTTCCAGATTATCTAACCCTCAGCAAGGATAATATGACAAAGAAAAGCTTAAATTCTCATCTATACTGAAGCTTCCTGCAACAGACCTGAGGTCAGAAATGCATGTTGCCTATGAATCCTTCACCACTCCTTCACTCCTTCATTCCCCAAATACCTAACATGTTCTTAACTCTGTGTTCTCAATGATTAAAACTCAGGTTACTACACAATATTTATATAAAATTCAAAGCACTTACTTTATGTTGCAAAGTAATCAGCCACATAAAATCTTTTCTATAGAACCTCTGCATGAATTCTGTCACCATTCCTGACGTTACTGCCCAACAATGAAAATTTAGATGCTAAACAATCATTAAACAGTAATACATTTACTGAACCTTTTTAAAAAGTATTTTCAAGGCAGGTTTAAACAAGCAGAAGGAGAAGGAAAGGTTTGCAAATCGAGTTTTAAGTTACCAGGTAAGCGGTAAGGAAAAACTTTTCAATACTGGATATAAAATAATACTGCTGTAAGGAGGAGGGAAAAATCAGATCCCTTTAAAAGCTTGTGCATTTGAAGGGTATTTTGCAAGCCACAACTGCTTGTCTCTCAAATTATCACTGTATTTTTTAACCATTTCACTGATACAAGTCTGGAGAATTTATAGGAGAGTCAAAATAATCACAACTAAGAAACTGTTAATCCATTGAAAGGGCACCTTTCTTTTCCTCTCAAAATATTCTTACAGATGTCTGAAATGACACTAGAAGAGATGCAACCTATGAGGCCACTTGTGGCATTTGCACATCTCAGCACTTTGGTACCACATATCATATCACTTTCTTGCCAGTACACAATATACTAGGCATTCTTTGCTACGGAATTGTAAAGCAAACTATGAAAATATAACACCAACAACCTGTCAAAGTGATAGTTTTTTGGTTTAACTGTATTGACAATATAAATTTTAAATAGGAAAATAATAACTTCAGATACAACTATTCCATATCAGTTTGTTAAACTGAAGCATCCTCATGGTCCATGTACTCTTCACTGAGAATACACCACATCTGGACTTGAGCAGATAGGATGGTTAACTAGTATGACACGATTTACAGTGGTAGCTAAGGCAAGAAGCAGCACTTCTTTCCATCTCAGGTTACAATAAAGGTGCTTTTTCTGTTAGTCAGTCACTTGAGATTAAGTACTATGTTAAATTAAAATCACACAACTGAGAGTGTAACTAAACATCTAATACCATTCAATAGGTAACCACCAGCTATACAGTGACCCTTACTTTGGTACAGGAAAAAGCTACTAAAAGCTATTCTAGTGTCTTCAAATGTGAAGATTTCACTGCAAGTATGAGTAAGTCCCAAATCAATAATCTAAAATCAGCATATACAATTAGATAATTTCATTTGAATGAATTACCTGTATAAGAAGCATAATACTCCATTAATTTCATGTACATTTCACTTAATTCTACTGAATATTGTAATATTAAATAATTTTGGGGGCCAAGAGTATCTGGATTTGGGGTTATTTTTTTCTTTATTATACATACTTCTTTGCACATAATATGTTTGTAACTCAAGGTTTTATTTTTTTATCTGACTTTTTATAGGTAAAGAGTAGCATTTAAAAACAGAAGCAAATTCTCAAAACTCAGAAGTAAGGCAAACACAGTCATTTGGAAAAAAACAATGCATAAATCTATTCACCTATGTGATAGCAGCCTCTGACAACTGCTTTGAGAAAGCTCTTAGTACAGAAGACATTTCCCCACAGCTCTGAAAAAGCTTACTTCAGTGACAGCGAAGTTGGAAAATTTTCTCACAGACAAATTCTAATGAAAAACTTTGGTTCCCCTGTAAGATACCTCCTTTTTAAAGCCCAGCAAATTGTACTGAGCTTCTTAGATCGTTTTGCTAGCCAGTTCTTCAACAAATGGTTAACACAAACTGCAGCAGAATATACTGAATAATTAATTTCCAGAGTTCACCTTTATTAAAAACAAGGTTTTTGTTGTGAGAACAAACAATCTCTCATTTGTAGCTTGAAAGCCTAAGATAGGATCATTGGCTTCCAGTGTTGCTACTAGCTGCTTAGCAACCTGTCCCACTTGTCTTCCTTCCTTCCTGTTGTAGAGAACTGTGGCCAGAGGAGTTGGCTGACGATAGATGAAAACTCTTCGTAAGCACTCGCAAAGAGCAGCATAGGAGTAATCTGGAGCACAAGCCATGAACTTCTTGTCTTGCTTTGATGCTTGGACATAACCTGCACAGCCCAAAAAGAAGCAGAATGTATAAATAATGTATTGGTTTCAACAGCCTCCTAGTAGGTTAAAGGTGCACAAGAAGTTGGGAGGGGACACAACCAGGACAGCTAATTCAAAGTGACCAGAGCTCAACCCATGAGTTTTCTTGCTTTTGCTCTTCCTGTTCTCTCCCCTGTCCCGCTGGGGGCAGGGAAGGGGAATAGGAAGAGCAGAAGCAGCTGTGTGGTGCTTAGGTTTCCACCAAGGCTAAGCCACAGCAGTACCAGCACACTTTAACACTGCATTTTTGTGCCTTCAGGATGTTTTTATTGTTTCATTTTAAAAAAATAAATGTTAACCCTAAGACTTCTAAATTTACAAATGCTTGCTACTTTCCTCAAAACATGATCTCTGTTCCAATCAAGCTTGGCAGTTTTCACCACAAAGCAATTTGTAAATATATAGCTAGATCATCAATTGACATGATCGCTCTACTTGGAAATAATAGGATATCCAGAAAAACTTTTGAAGTGTAAATTCAGGAATTTAATTCATGTATTTAAGCACTGGCACCAACACTAGAAGCAGGACGTAAGTACAGGCTTGCAAGTATTTCCCAGAAAGAAAATCGTAGGCTATTTAAAAAGAAAAACACAACCAAAACAATAAATCTAAAAAATGGGATTGTCTTCTATTTTTCTGGTTTATAGCTACAGCCCTCAGGGAGCAGGGGATTTATTTAAGAAGTCTAATGATTACTCAGTGAAAGATAAAGGCTTCTTCAGTAAACTGTGCTTAAGAATGGGCAAGATCGCACAACTGCTCCTTCGCACAACTCCTTCAACCAGCAGCAAAATCATCAGATGTTAGCAGCAAAAAGTCTCATCAAGATCAATTGCTTTTTTTCAAGAGAAAGTTGTTAGGACAGATACATAGAACAAAAAAATTTAGTCCCTTCAGTTTCCCTTTGGTTCCTTTCTTACGCTTTAGTCCAAGACTTGAACTGAAAATGTTCTGGTTTGGTGGGTTTTCTGGTATTGGGGAAGGGCCCCAGAGGTGGCTCTGGTAAAAATCTGAGAAGCTCCTCCTCCTCCAAAACAAGTCAAGGAGCCATTACAGGGACAACAGATGCGCCTCAGCGATTAACATACGAGAAAGGGATATAACAGCTGAGCAAAGAAGTACTTGGCAGGAGGGACCCTGTGGGGAAGCAAGGAAGGACCGTAAGGAATCCTTCTTCCTGAGGAGGATGGCGCGGCAAGAACCACCAGCCTGTGAACTGACTCTAAACCCCATCCCCTGTCCCCCTGTGCCGCTGGGGGGAAGGAGGGAGAGAAACCGGGAACAAAGTGATTTGGGCCCCAGAAGATGGGAGGGGTAGGGGTAACATATGCAAGCCCTGCTCCTTGTGTTGTCTGTGTCCTGTGTGTGTTTGATTAGTGTGAAATTAAATTATTGTTTTTTCCCCAAGTTGAGTCTGTTTTGCTTGGGACCTTAATCGGTGAAGAACCCTCCTTGTCCTTTGTCTCGACCCAGGAGCTTTGTCCTCCTCATCCCAGAGTGTGTGTGTGTGGGGGGGAGTTGAGTGAGTGGCCATGAGGCTGCTCTTTTGTTGTGTTGGGCCCAAACCACGACAGAAAAGCATTAATTTTTCAATCATCATGTTTGTAAGGCTTGTTAAAAAACTAATTTCAGAAGTTCAAGCAGAGTAAGAAGGAAATAAGGCTCCTAGTATTGCTTTGGTGAATATAATGTATACTGTAGGTTTTGGAAAACTAGACTTTTAAGCTAGAAAATTCTAATTTTTACTACTAGTTCTTGTAAAGTGCTTCTAAATTCGGTTGTAGATAAACAAGCTGATGACTTACATCACCTCTCAAACATAAAAGGCGAACTAGATTAGTACACAAGTGTAAACTACATTATAATATTGTAAAATGACAGTACAATAAGGAGAAAGAAGCAGAGGAACAATGCTGGGTTTTATCACCTTAGGTACAAAAGGCTTAGAGATCATAATTTCCTTCCGGTTATTTTTGAAACAGTAGAAACACATTGTTAAAACAGTACTACAAAGTCATAATAGAAACTTGAAACTAATAATTTGAAAAGCATCTTAATCCTTATCATCTGCTTTTTTCCTAGCATAATGAAATTTGAAACAAGTAAACAAAGAACTAATTGTGAAATTAATCTCTTTTGTTAGAGGGTTTATTAAGGTGCTTATTGTTTAAGTTAAAGTAGCAGACTATTAAAAAATAATTCTTATTACAAAACTAAGTACATCGCTCAGAACAAAACCAGTTGTATGTTATGGTAACCTGCATGAACTCTATAAACAGCTAATACCTTCTCTTTCATTTTGGACCCAGACAGAGAATGGTGTGGTCAAACAAACATATTTGGTAGAGGGATATTGTCACACTCAGGCATTATTGAAGGAATGGGTCTAGAGAACACTTTGAGAACATGAAGACTAGTTGTCACAGCAGAAAAAATCTGGACCTGTTTAATTTTCATGAAAACTGACTGTTTCGTATTTGATACGTGCAACACTGGGCTACATGGACCATCTTATTTGATCTGATAGTGCAATTCTTACTTTTGCAGTCTTATTTGTCAAAGTACATTCTGCTTCTGAGCTTTAGGATTCTGCTTAGAACAGCGAGTAAAAACATATTCTTAGTTCAGATTGCAACAATACAGCAATAACTAATTTTCTACTTTACTGACAGGCTGCAATTTCTGAAGAGTAAGTAGCTTCTTGAGCCAATACTGGCACAGTTACACTCTTGATTGATTTTTCCTGTCACAACGACTTTTTTAAAAAAAAAAATTTCAAATTAATGAAAGCTTTCCACATTCACAACATTTTGTGGCAGAGGGTTCCATAGCTTAAATGCTCTCTTTTGGCTGTCTTAATGTCTGTCTTACAGGTTCTTTTGAACCTACTACGCACAAGTATCATTTGATGCGTCTGGCACTTCGAACAGAAGCAACAGTGAACAAGCACATCCAATTCCTGTCACCTGGGACGAGATAGGAAATATCTAAAAGTCACTTATTAAAACATTTTTCATAAGCAAAAATACACCTGGACATGTCATCTATGAACTGCAGCTGTTTCCCTAATGATTACAGTGTGAATATTTAGGTGGTGATTGTGCTTTTAAGGCTTAAACTCCAGTTCATTTATCCAAGGAACTCTCCTAACTCCAGTTCACTTATCCAAGGAACTCTCCTTTTTACTGTACCTTAGACTTAACCACATTGAACTTAAGGTTCTTGTTAGCCCAGTTTTTTGGCCTGTTCAGGTACTGTGTTTACATCCTGTATATGGCTTGAAAAGGTTAATTTTCCTCCCAAGGAATAAAAATTTTATTTCGTATGTTCTAATATTTCTAAAATTAAGCTATCATACTGCTATCAACAGAATTACAGTGCCTTTCAATTAAAATTTAATTAGGTGAAATATTAACAGAAGCCATACTAGGAGAACTCAGGTAGAAAAGTGTCCGATAAAGGAGTGTGACACAGAAGTTAATTTCCTACCCAAAGCATTAAAAGTTGCAATGTGTTCCCACATGTTCTCTGGTTGGTCTGAGTGGGGCTGCCAGAGAAGAGCATCAACATCATGTCTCAGGCAGAAGCATGGCATTTCTCTGGGGTCCACTACCACTGAGAAAAGATACTGGTTGCTTCCAAGATTAATCTGAAAACAAAACAAAGAAATACAAAATATTGATTCAAAGCACAAATAGCAGCTTCTGTCACACATGCTGGCAAAGTCAGATGTTTGTTAGTTGACAGAATGTTTGACTACATTATGCTGCATTCCACTGATCAACAGTTCAATGCACTACAGGTAGCCAGTACATTTCAAGCAAATACCACTAAAATTTACTGGGATAACATTTAGGGAAACATTATGTCCACTACACAAGCAAATGTGCAGAAATGCTTTTCTAGGATAGAGTATCCTAACCTACAACTTCTGACGTCAGGAAAAGATCCTCTCTAAGTGATCATGTCTGATTTTCTGCAGTGCCAACAGGGAAGGAAATACTGTCCCTCTGCAGGTAAAGTTGTTAAGCACTGGAGCAAGGATTAGTTAGTATAGTTGGATTATGAATTGGTAAAAATTGTTTATTTACTCACCATCAAGTAATTACTAAATTTCAGGTTAGCACACACTTTATCAAATATGTCTAGATCACCAAAAACATTCCGTAGCCACCAGGAATGACCAATTAGATAGGAAAGACAAAGACAGGCATACCCTGCTACCTGAATAAACAGTAGTAAGAGTAACAATAAAGCAACATATATTTTGAGTTTCCTATGTAAAGCCTTCTAAATGAAGGTAATAGCAATACTTTAATCAGCACTGTAACTAGAAAATGCTTGAAGAGGAGAGAACAATCTGTTCCCTTACAGTCTATCACATAAGAACACTCAGGAATTCCTGTTTGTATGAAGATGAACAAATACATTTGAACTATTTTTTATATCCAGAAGCTATGTCTGCAACAAGAATATGCAGGATTACACCCTAATAAATGGTACAATTTATTATCCTCAATGAGCATTTCACATAGAATCATAGAATCTTAGGGGTTGGAAGGGACCTCAAAAGATCATCTAGTTCAACCCCCCTGCTAGAGCAGGGTCACCTAGAGTACATCACACAGGAACGCATCCAGGTGGGTTTTGAATGTCTCCAGTGAAGGAGACTCCACAACCTCCCTGGGCAGCCTGTTCCAGTGCTCTGTCACTCTTACAGTAAAAAAATTTTTTCGGATATTCACCTTGAACCTCCTATGCTCCAATTTACACCCATTACCCCTTGTCCTATCACTGGTCATCACTGAGAAAAGCCTAACTCCGTCCCCCTGACACTCACCCCTTACATATTTGTAAACATTAATGAGGTCACCCCTCAGTCTCCTTTTCTCCAAGCTAAAGAGACCCAGCTCCCTCAGCCTTTCCTCATAAGGGAGATGTTCCACTCCCTTAATCATCTTAGTAGTTCTGCGCTGGACTCTTTCGAGCACTTCCCTGTCCTTCTGGAACTGAGGGGCCCAGAACTGGACACAATACTCCAGATGTGGCCTCACCAATGCAGAATAGAGGGGGAGGAGAACCTCTCTTGACCTACTAACCACATCCTTTCTAATGCATCCCAGGATGCCATTGGCCTTCTTGGCCACAAGGGCACATTGCTGGCTCATGGTCATCCTCCTGTCCACCAGGACCCCCAGGTCTCTTTCACCTACACTACTCTCCAGCAGGTCAGTCCCCAACCTATACTGGAACATCGTGTTGTTCTTGCCCAAATGCAAAACTCTACACTTGCCCTTGTTGAATTTCATCATGTTTCTCCCTGCCCAACTCTCCAGCCTGTCTAAGTCTCTCTGAATGGCAGCACAAATGGCTTACATGTTAAAGAGTATATATAGATATATATTTAAAATCAGAAAAGGAGCCTTGCTTTTACAGTAAAATGACACTAAAGAACACATACTGGATGATAATTGCTGTTGCTATTGTGTTTTTACGTTATGGAAGAAATGGTATGGTTTCAAGACTTTGCACAGATTTTTGTTCTGATAATAGAATTTAACTTGAATATGGTGAAAAATGCTTTAAAACATTTCCATACAAATTTGCAGCACTTACTATATGAGTGACTTTTAAGGTATCACCATCAAATCTACACAAGCTTGCATTATCTTCAAGAAAAGCATCACATTCTTCTAATTCCTGAGCATTACAAGGCGCATTTTTCTTTTCAGGATCTGGATTCTGAAATAAAGACAATTAATTACACTGAAAATCTGAGCTGCTGAACATATATGTGTATATAAATCCCATTTCAAAATACAAAGGTTCAATAGAACAGGAAGAATCTGCATATCCTTATATACTTACAGATCGTGATTATGTAGTTATTCAAAATTAACAGAACCATTTCATTGGTAGAGGACAGCATGAGTGGTAGGTATAACAAAAATCAATTTCAGTTTCAGGAAAGGTATATAAGCCATTAAAACATGGACAATACATTCCTGTCTGTACAGCAGCAAAAGCATACAATCCTGAAAACCTACACAGGTTTAGTAAATTTACATCAGTGTAAGCTTCTTTCAGATTGCCAGAAATAGTAATAAAAATGGTATTAATTAATTTTGTAAGTAGCTCTAAATACATGCCTCCTTTTAGCTTTGCTACTAATTATTTAAAACTAATAATGTTGTTAGGTACATTTTTCAATGCACTCAAGAAAAAAACACAGGTATTTTATCATGCTACACAAGTGAAAGAAAGGAAAACCTGTCCCTTTTACTACTAATTTGAGAGCAAGATGCAACAATACTGCACACAGAAACAGCTCACTTCTCCTAATGAAATCTTTGGATGCTTTGCAAAACAACCAAGCCATGATAACTTTGTCATGTATTTAAACAACTAATTTCATTGTAACAGTGACATTTAACATTATTGTTATTTTACAGAAGGCAAAAATAAACACTCTTCATTAAGTATCAATTAATGTTGCCTCTTGCACAAAAAAGACACCATCTTGACAATTACTATAAGCTGAAAGCTGAGGCCAAAAAGAATATGTAAGCAAAGATTTGACAGAGAACTGACTCAAATCATCTGACAGGGAGTTCTTGTGTTCCCGTGCTCATTTCTGCATCTATTTCAGCTGATCATTAAGAACTTTTATTTTGGTTCAGTCCACAAAGTGAAGCAAATCAACACAATGTTTTTTAGTTGCTAAGACAATTGAAGTTCAAAGAAAAGAAACACAAAGAAATGGCTAAGAAGACCCTTAAATAACAGAAACCAGCAAAACTAAGTATCCTAAACTGCAGACTGATGCACAAGACTTCAAAAGGGTATCTGTCTCTTTGAGGAAAGACTTTGGGGTTCAGTTCTACTCTGTCGAGCCTTCTTGATGGCCTCTGATTTATTGTTTCATTGGGTAGCTTTTAAATAAAACTTTCCAGGTATACATCATTACCATAAGGAAGTCAGATGATCAAATAGAATCCATGCATTTAATATACATATTTATTTAAATGAACAGTTACCTAAGCAAAAATTTGTTTTTCATGTGATCATTATCATACACAAGCTGAAGAGCTGTGACAAAAAAACAAAACACAAAAAACTTAAAGCTCAATATGATCTACAAAAGAAAAGAAATTTGAAGTTCCAAACAACGCTATGGTCAAAAGATGTGCTGCAACTTCTTGTCCAAAAATAATGACAGAGAGAGAACAGAAATCAATTTAAAGCACTAAGCAGAATTTATTTTAATAACATTTTTCAGCCTTATTAAAAAAGTCACAATGCAAAACTAATATATCAAGTTCCACAGGGAGTCACACTTCACAAGTTTTAGATGAGATGCCATTTTCTAATTAAACAAAAAGGGGAAATATCAAGCAAACAGCAGTTAAAAATTACATTTAATTTTCTTTAAGTAGACTCCCTGTATAACAATAATGCCAGAAAGCTATGAATCATGCTTATGCTTTCTTAAACTTTCCTTTTAAAAATGTCATTTACACTCACTGTATCAGTATCTGTAGGAACATAGTATAAAAAAGTTGCTAACCTATCCTTCAAAATTACTTAACTGCTTTAGAACAGTCATGTTGTAAGTGGTGGGAACAAAATTTATTTTCAATGTTAAATCTGACTTCTGTTTTGGTGCACTAATGCAATCCCCAGTGAAGATGATATTGCCATTCAAAGTACATTCAAAAGTCTAGTGCCATTAGCTCATTAACAGTTCCAGTTAAAAATTAATGTAGAACTGGGATTCTGAATAGTAAATGATGGGATATGTCAATGAAAAGCATATTAGGATATCAAATGTGCAAGAGCCTTTAACGTTTTATTTTCAACTCCTTACCAATACTTCAGAGGTAAGATGCATCAGGCTTTCAGTTATTTCAGAGAACTGGGAAGAGTCCATAATGAATTCCCCTCTTGTGTCACCAACTATTAGCTCTGGCCACCGGGGTCCCTCATTTTTCTTAATTAGAGAAATTTCCAAACTAAAATGGAAATAGAAGACAGAGTAGATGAAAACACAGCATCCATTTCTCAGATTAGTCAAGAAGCTCTAAATGTAGATTTAAGCACTTCTATTCTACCAATTGAATAATGAAAATCACAAAACAGAAACCATTAGCATTCAATTTATAAAATAAACTATTATAATAGGCAATATTCTAAAGAAAGACAGACCAAGCACAACTGATTTGCAAAAGCCTAAGAACAATGAGAATGTATTAATGCAAGTGTAGTCAGTTTTCAAAGTAAATGCAGCTTCCTCTGAAGCAGTCTTATTAAAATATTTTAAATACCGTAGATTACCTGTACAGAAATCTATCCAAAGAGTGGCATAATTTTACTACAGAGGTGTATTTGAAACCTAAGTATTCAATATAGCACAAAAAGTGTTTGTATTTTACCTGAGAAATACTACAACAGTTAATTATCTAACTGTGTATCTAAAATTCTATCTCAGAAGAGACACGATTTCTGTAACCTGTAAAACAAACATTGGACAACCTGGTATAGACATTAGGAATAACTGCCTAAATAAACAGAAACCTAGAGGTTTAGCCTGATGCACCAGCAGAGCAGTTCTATTTAATTAATACATTAGATCAAGACATGGATATAATGATAAAATGAGAAGTTAGTTTCATTGTATTCACTTTTTATATATACACTTCCAGAGTTTACAGTGACAGTCATTTTTACCTGACAGAAAAGGAAAACCTTCTAAGATACTATCTACTGCATCATAGTAATAATTATTTGGTGAAGTTCAAATTAGTTTCTGAAGCTACTACATTGGTATTAGAAAGTTATGCAAAAGTTATATACAATTTACACCCACAAAAACCCACAAAACAATGGTTGAACGTGTCTTGTCACTAAGATCAGTTTAGGGCTCTGAAGGGTCCTCTGTAGGCTTTACTAATGATACAGAGTCTAAGCAGAAAGCAACACTAGATGTCCAAAATTAGGCTGCAATTCCCTACCAAAGAGCTGAAGTTCTAGAACTAGAGAGTTTTGAAATAAAAAAAAAAAGTATATTTGACTATGGTTCAGGGAGCTCTGAATTCTTTTCTTCCCCCCCTCTCCATTCCTTTATGTTTTTATTTCAGAAAGAAACAACTAAAATTTAACTTTCAAATAAAATGATGAAAATCTGAGGGCTACATCATGTTAAATTCATGCTGATTAATTTCATATCACATGCACGACATACAATGGAGAAGAAAAATATAATAAGGAATTTATAAGTCAAACCTGAAAGCTTTCTGATACATTTTTTCCAAAAAAGCTTCTGTTTGTGGAAACTTGAAGTAGAATAGAAATTAATAACACAAACAACAGGGGAAATTCAGGCTAATTGATCCTAAAACTTAGTGGGGAAAAAAATTGTTGAACCAGTTAAATTTACTCCACTAACAAAGCTACGTTTAACATTTTTATTATTTTTTTTTCCTGGCTATTTCGAAAAAGTAAAGTTTTTCTTTAGTGCTCCAAAATATTACTGACTTTACTTACTATACTTATCACCAAAGTTTCTTAACTATATGATACACTGTCTTTGGAAAATAATTTAACAGTTTACCTATTTACTTTTCCACTGTGATCAACTAGAAGTGAATGGACAAGATTATTCTAAAAACAAATAAAAAACCCCAGGTAGTCATACAGACAGGTAGTCATACAGACATGCATGGGTTAATCTCCAGTAGCTCCCAACACTAAATATTGTTTGAGAAAGGTAAATGACAACATTAAAACTTTGCTGCAAATAAACACAGGCAAAGGATGCCAAAATAGCATGAGGAAGTTCAGGTTAGGTGCATTCATGTACCCCTTATGCTGCAAAGAACTCTGCTTCACAGCTCAGTTGTAGAAAACAATTTCTTGGGCCAGGTCAGTTATGTGTGCTTTTTTTCTGAAATAAAATAATTTATTATTTTGAAAAAGCCTTTCCAATGTTGCTTTAGAAAACAGCTGGTCATGTAGCTTAACAGGCAAAGGATGCCAAAATAGCATGAGGAAGTTCAGGTTAGGTGCATTCATGTACCCCTTATGCTGCAAAGAACTCTGCTTCACAGCTCAGTTGTAGAAAACAATTTCTTGGGCCAGGTCAGTTATGTGTGCTTTTTTTCTGAAATAAAATAATTTATTATTTTGAAAAAGCCTTTCCAATGTTGCTTTAGAAAACAGCTGGTCATGTAGCTTATAAGAAAATAACTGTAAGAGAAGGGGATTACTTTCACAATTAAGAAAAGAAACAGTATTATGAGACAGCACAGCAAAAGCCAGTGATCCATTTTCAGCAGAGCAGATAAGCTTCTTGTGAGGAGGGATGCATGGTGTAGTATTAAATGAGTCAATTCCTAGAAGCTAGAAGTCAGGATATGGTATATATTTCAAAATCAGTTCCTATCAATAGGAAAACTAGAAGTCATATACAACACCTTTTGTTCTCTCTAATTATCCATGTGCAGCTTTCATGGTCCACAGATGAATAGAGTTCTCCTTCCATCAAAGGAGGCTGGTCCTTCAGCACAACACTTATCTTATCAGGGGAAAAGCGCACTTTTATGTCATCCTTAGTGATGTCTTGAGGAATGCTAACTGTTACTGTCACATCATCTTCAGTCTGCTGCCAGTAATAGAGAGGGTCTACAATTGGAAACATGCAGAAAAATACAAACTAGATTACAGATTCTGTCAACTCCAGAGCATGCAATGCTGGGAGGTATAGAATAGCTTGAAGAAGACTGTAAATTAACTTTTACTCTGAACAATTTACATAAAATAAATTCTGATTTAGCAATTAGGTTCATTTGTGTCCTTTGCCTAAGGAGCAATTTATATTCATGCATATGGGCATTAACTATTAGTTAAGCTTATTGCAGCATCACAAAACTGATAACCAAAATGTACTTAAATACATGGAAACATGAATGATTTAATAATTCTGTTGAAGAGACATCACGTGCAGTGGTACTGTCAAGCTACTACATGCTCAGAAGTATATGCTATTCAGAGATGTGAACATTTTTTTTTAACCCATTTTGTCACAAGCTACACTGAGTATTCAACAGAAACTATTTTAAGATGAACAAGTAGTGTTCATCTGTCTCAGTTGAGATGAAATAAAACTGCCTATTCAAACGTAATGATTGACTTTTGCTCCTGGGCCTTATATCTACCTGTTCTCCATGCTAACTACTGAACTGCTACAGGCAGTGGCCTTTTAAGATAAATGTTTATATAAAAGGAAGGTTATGACACCATGAATGGGTAGTGCACAACTGGTCACAGAAAACAAAAATATAGAAGCATTAATTTTCTGAAGAGCAAACTTGTACATGTTACCTTCCTATTTAGAGGACAGGTAAAGAATGGATAGATCCTTTGGAAGCTCTGAAGTTGTCACAACACAATACAAGATTTCATAGTTCGAAGCTTCATGTCCATAACTGCGACTCTGGAAGGACTTTTGACACTATTGCCTGTTACCACAAGTTTTCTGTTGCAATGGATCAGTCACAGTTGCCCAAATATAATTCCCAGAAACTATTAGTATCTGAAATATGACAGCCTTCAAAATTCTAAACTTTGACAGACTGTATCTATTTTATTAAAAGTCTTAATTTATAAGAAAACTCAATGGCATAAAAAAGTAGCTTAGATTTCCTCTCCCCAGTCTTCAAGACAGCCTTCTCATAATGTCAAAAATATGCAGAGGAAACAATGAAAGAACAAACTAAAACCCAAAATACCATTGTGCAACATAACCATCTTAATATTTCTTTATTTATTATTGTAAACTCCAATAAAAACTAGAATTCTATTCCTGAAACAACTTGCTTTATTATCTGGTGTCTGTTATACCTGCAATTTTATATAACCATCCAACTAAAATTATAGCCTACATTAGGCTTGGCAAAAGACAAATTCTCTCTTAAGGAAGTATCAGAGAGGAGTTCAGGTTCCAGTACTGTCTCTACCATTAGATTTTTGTGCCATTGTAAGTTTTCTAAAGGTACTGCTGCAAACAGTACTCCATAAGTTACAGATTTCTGGGCTTTGACAACACCATATGTGCACATACATGCTATGCTAAGAGCCATATAGTGCCCTTTACTGTTTCTTTAATCACACCTAGCACACAATTAAAGCAGCTTTGAAAATCCTTAAAGCGTTGAAGTAGCTAATTCAGCTGACATGTGCATAGACATTGCATTATGCGCTCAGCGCACTGAAAAATCCTTTGCATCAACATCTATATAGAATCATAGAACTATTCTGGTTGGAAAAGACCTTCAAGATCATCAAGTTCAACTGTTAACTGACTACTGCCAAGTTCCCCACTAAACCGTCTTATTAAGGGTATCACTTCTACATGTCTTTTAAACACCTTCAGGACAGTAATTCAGTCAGTTCCCTGGGCAGCCTGTTCCAGTGCCTGACAATCCTACCAGTGAAAAAAATTTTCCTAATATCCAATCTAAACCTCCCCTGGCACAACTTGAGGCCATTTTCTCTTGTTTTATTGCTTGTTACTACAACGTCCTTTCAGGTAGTTTAAGGTCTCCTCTCAAACTCCTTTTCTCCATGTAAAACAACCCCAGTTCCCTCAGCTGCCCCTCATAAGACTTATGCTCCAGACCCTTCACCAGCTTTTTCACCCTTCTCTGTACATATTCCAGCACTCGCACAGAATGACAGTATTATTCTTGTTGGCAAAGACTTTCAGGATCATTGAGTCCAACCGTAAATGTCCTCAATGTCCTTCATACAGTGACGGGCCCGGAACTAAACTCATTATTTGAGGGCAGCCTCACCAATGCCGAGTACAGGGGCACAATCACTTCCCTAGTCCTGCTGGCCACACTATTTCTGATACAAGCCAGGATGCTGGTGTAATTCTTGGCCACCTGGACACACTGCTGTGTCATATTCAGCTATAGATATTTTTGTATTGCTTTCCAAACAGGCTTTTGCACCATTGACAAAGACTGTAGTGGTATCAGTTAGGAGTGAGTCATTAACCAATGCCTCATATTCAGAAGCAAAAATCAGATCTGAAGTAGTTCAATATAACTACATAAACATACATATTACAGAGCTCAATGATATTTAAGAGAAAAAGAAATTCATTAATAGGTTTCTACATACTTAATTTTGTTTTTATGTTAAAGAAAAAGAGTATGGATGCCTTTTATTGAAGCTTATTTTTTCTGAACTGCCTTCCCACTGGGGAAAAGATCATCTTTTACAAGATTCTGATTCTTTTAAAAGTTGTTGTTTGTTTTTTGTTGTGGGTTTAGGTTTTTTACATTTAGAAAGACAGGAGCAAATTACTTATCAGAGTGCTTTCTCATGAACAACTACGTGGGAGAGTCAACAGCTGTCACACTGCTCTCTCTCACCTAGGAAGACTGCCTTACTTAATACTTCAGATATCTAAGTTGAGGTGTTGCCTGAGATATCAAAATCCTAGCAAATACTTAGCATTGCTGTGCTTGCAAAATAACCTTTACCTTAGGACAACAGAATTCTGTAAGTGTCTCTTATTGAAAAAAGCTTCTCACACAGGTTTATGCACAATACAACAACAAAAAAGCCAATTCATTCTTTAAAAAATGCAGAAGATGGCTATTAAGACATTCATTGCTAGTTTTCGAACAGATGCTGAACTGACAAGCTATTTTCTAAGCCAAAAGAGAAAGCGACCTATCATAACCTGCTAGGTAAGTCTTACCTTTCTTCTCATTTGTTGCTTTTGCATCATCATTCTCTTCTAATTTGTCATTCTCTTCTACTTTGTTATCTTCTTCTAATTTGTCATCCTCATCTTGCACAAATTTGAATGGTTTGTAGGAAACAATCATTACACCATTCCCACTTGGCTCTATCGCTGCATAATGGGGGATTGATTTTCCTTGTAAAACTCTTCTTTTAAATATCTCATATCTATGATCACCTATAAAATTAAAAAGTAAATATTATCAGTAGTTAAGACAAATTATATGAGCATCTAATTACACTTTAAAGTATTAAGCAATCCTAGCAGTTAAATCACAGCACTGTAATTTGAAAAGAAATTTCTGTTTTCCAGTAAGTTTTTTTGGTAATACACAAGTAGTAGGTGGGATCACTTTGCCTAGCCACCTGGACATGGCAGAGTCTCTCATGGTTGTTACTGTCAAGAGACATAATTATGTTATGAGGTTTGGGTAAATTGAGAAATGGCTTGTTGCCCTGGTTTGAGCCAGGATGAAGCCAATTTCCCTTTTACCTATTTTTTTTTTTCTTTTCCCTTCAGTAAGCTTTATTTTAACTAGTAGAAAGTGTTCCAGCCTAGACTGATAATGCTGGAATGTTTATGTGATTGCCAGGACTCCAAGGTCACATCTCTGCTGGCTCAGACACTACAGGGAGATCGATGACCCCCCCATAGGTGGCTGAATTAGACAGACAGCAAAATTGGCCAGAGATATTCCATTCCATATATCTAGATAAGCTCAGAGGAAGGTCAGAGATCACAGAAGACAAGTTCTTTCCTGCTTCTTCTTCCTTTCTCTTCCGTCCATGGTCAGTGTCCAGGGAGGACTCCATCCATCCATCACTGTCAACCCTTGGGCCGTGCATCTCCTGACCCTCATCACTCTGCCACTTACTCTCCTGTAGCTTTGGGGCTTTTTGGGACTGTTCACAGCTCAGGAGATGCTGTGGGAGTTGCTGAGGGTGGGGAGAGGCAATAGGGGTTTTGCACATTCCTGAACACATCTGTATATAATTGTATATATTTTCTTTTATTGTTAGTACTTCATTAAAGCTGTCTAGTTCAGATTTCAATCTAGAGAGTCTCTCTCTCATTCTCTTTTTCGTTCCCTTCCTGGGTGAGAGGGGGAGGGGATTGAGTGTTGTTATTGCTGGTTTAATTGCCAATCCTCAGTCAACCCGTGACACTTGTTGATGAACTATTTTTACTACAGTCTCAATTAATAAAACACACACACTGGCACTGTTTCAAGAAAAGTTAAGTGTAGCAATTGCGCACTGACAAAGGAGAATGGTAAGTACTGTAATTCCTCAAAACAGCTTCTATCTTTGAGACTGTTGGAGCAAGTCCAGAGAAGGGTCACCAAGCATTAGTTAGAAATAGCTCTGTATAACCCTAATTTTACAAGATCAAGCTCAACAGGAATTGCATTTCATAACATCACAAAGTAAAGTTCTATCTCATTTTCTAATTACCTTAACCACACACGTATAAACCTTTACTTCTTCCTGCCTTCCAAAAGAATTTAGGACTACAACAAATAACTTGATCTTACATTGTAAGAAAAAATTATCTATGTGAAATCCACCCTGAAGTTCTGGGGAAAGGAAATATCAGAACTTGGGGAACAATCAACTTCTGAGATAAAGAATTAAAACATGATTTGAAAAAAAATAAAACTACTAATCAGTAATAAATGTAAAACACTTACCCTCTTTGCTTATCTCTGCAATTGTAACCCATTCCAAGGTAACATGAAATCCACTTCCCTTTGTGTCCAATTCATCTTTTTCCACCCTAAGCAGCAGCACAGCTACTGAACGCTTATTAGATTTTACAAATGAAATACTGTGCACTATAATAAATGGATTTCCTAGTTCTTCATTAAACACAATCTGGAAGAGAAATATGTAGCAAAAAGTCAGTCAGTTAAAATTGGAAGTCTCAGAAAGCAGTAAAAAGGCTCCAGTGAATGTCAAGCCAGTTAAATTTTGCTTCCCACAAACCTCTCTGCCAATATGAATCCATGAATGTAATAAATTTCTGGTTCCTCTTTCCTTGGTTATCAAGCCACTGTTCTGAAATGCTTTTAATCATTATTGTTTCTATTATAAACAGTCTGCATTACTTCCGTTTATTACTACAATAAGTAGATGAACAACTGAGGAACAGAACAAGACCCATAAACACAGATTATCAACAGGGGAAAACAGTCTCACACTCAAGATGAAAATGTAGGCATTTCACCAAGGCCCTCACTAGTTTTCTAGACACCCCAAAATCATGAAAATCTTTGTAGACTTTGACACATGCAAATATTAAGATAAAAAGGTCCAGTGTCTTGCTACCAGTGTTTAATCATCAATCAGTACCAAGGGGAGGGGAATTCTCTTTATCTGGCTACTATCTTTACAAAGAGATTCAATTTTCCTTCTCCAGAAAGTTTTATGAAGGGGACTAGGAAACAAAAACCTATAATGAAATGAAAGGGTATAAATATCCATATTTAGGAGGAGCTAGGGTTAGAAGTTTTTGAATGTTTATGTATAATGTTTGGAAAAGTCCATTCAATATTTAGATCAAACTAGGTAGGCAGAGTACATAAATATTACTATCATACTGGAAGGCTATTGAGCACCATTGTTAGCATGAAATAATTTCATACAGAAAGACTGCACATCTTGTAGCTTGAGACATTTAGCATTTGGTACCTATAGCTGGAAATTTCAATTCTAGATATTATGTATCTCAGCTTTTCTTAAAAAAAGTACTCATTCAGAAAAAAGCACAAGACGATAAAACCTAAATTAATCCAAACAGCAGAGAAGAAATGGAACATTCTTTGTTTGCTAGCACATTTAACACATGAAAATGAAATAATAAATTACAAGGAATTTAAGCTGCAGAGGTTGAATGAGTATGGGCTCAATCCAGCCACTGTTACTGAAATTTGATATGGTTGTTCTGTTTCAAACACTTGAATTTTAGATATTTTTTGCATAAAAATACAATTCTAGTAGTCATCAGTTTAAAAAGAAATCCTTTTTAATGTATGTATATATATATTTTATATATTAATATGGATTTATAATACTTGAACACAATTCCGTATCAGTGAAACAGAGTTACGATTTAAAGCTTAATTCTTCACAACATTACAAACATGCAAATCTCGTAAGAATGGAAGAATAAGAACTATTTGGTAGATGTACAAATCTTAAGTATGTTACTGCAAGACTTACCTCCCACTTTTCAGATGCACCGTTTCCACGCTTGCCTGATTTAATTAAATACAGTCTTCCTGTACCATCAGAAAGGGTAACCCATGTGGAAGATGAGAAGTGGACTGAGGCACAAAGGCGGTTATCATAAGCTGTCAAGTCTGTAGGTAGCCTGAAAACTTCTCTTGGTTTTTGTAGAGCAGTGTCCTATAAGCAAACAATCAAGCATTAAAACTTTATGAAGTATTTATCAGTTTCAGTGTCACAGACAAATTAATAATAACAAATCCCAGTAGCAATTCACCAGTTTCTTTGTGCATATTTGGAGAGAAGTGGGCAGCATGCATCATTCTCACATATGTGGAAAAGTTTGCGGAATTTCACTACTGAGTGGGTTTCTATATACTGAAAACATGAGTGTTCTATAATTAATATTTCAGCCCTTTTTTCCCCTTTCATTTTACAGCACTAATTAAATTTTTAATTTTAAAAAAGCTTTTAGCTTCTTTTCCGCTAGCATTCCGATATAATCGCTTACCTTAAATAATTATAGTCTCAGCAAAAAAGTGGAAACTCTAAAATACATGAAAGCCACAGAATTGTACTTAAACTAGTTGATAAAAATTCACTTACAGATTAAAAAGAATTTTAGCCTATTATCTTAGACAACTGGCATATCCAAACCTATATATCATTTATCAGCTTTCCTAGAATGGCAATTTTATTAAGTCAGTTTAAAAAGTAACAATTGTGATTAGCTATCAAAGAAGAGCTGTACTATTTCATATCATATTTGCAAATAACTTTTCCATTACATCATGATTATACTATGCATCCAGATCAGTGGCACACTGCAATCTTATTTTTTAAGCTAAACTACAAGCATGGGTAGTTTTTGAACATGAACAAACAGAAACACTACAGTGAATGAAGTGCACTACGATATAACTCTCCAGTGAAAAATAAGGACATAGGGATTTTTAAAAGTCACAGATATCACTAAATTAAAAATATAATCCAGTATTTCCTGCTATATAAACATTACACAAATCAGACTGACTAACAGTGCAAAATGAATGTTAGATTGCCAATTTAATCTATGTTTCTAGTAATTGTTTTCAGAAGTCCTGCTTTAGTTCTGTGTTACCTTCTTCATTTCCTGCTAATTCTAACAGAAGAAAGTGCTTTTGTGCTGTAAATTGGATTTGCAGCTGTTGTCATTAAGTACAAAGGCATGCCTTCCAGGATATCTTGTAGGTATTATTCTTTATCTTGTGCCCTCACTCTCACATACAGGCCTTCCTTTGCTGAACAAGCAGTTTGTCACTCTGCTCATTATTTGGCTTGCAGAATACCAGCAACTCCCCTGCCTGCTTAGGACTACAATTTACCCCCCTCTTGTGAGCTGAAGTGATTTCTGAATATTTAAGAGGCTTGTTAGAAGGAAAAAAAAAAACCTGACCGTATTTTTATTAGTGGAAAAGAACAGAGCATCACAGTTTATAAAAAGGTCAGGACATACTGTATCAGCAATACAGCTTGATCAGCTACTGATAAAGTAAATCAGGCTGCAGTATTAAGAGTAGAAATAAAATATATTTACAGAAAAACATTAGATGCAAACAGGAGATTCAGCAACATCACAGCCACATCTCCATAATCTTTCAAATAACTGAAACAGCACTTAATTTCTTGAAGTTTTTAACAGAACCAATGTGCTAAATAAAACGAGCTGGCAATCTGGCACAAGTGGGGTCCCCCTGGGCTTGATACCAGCCCCATACTGCTCAACATCTTCATAAATTACCTGGGTCATGAGATTGAAAGCAAACTCACCACATTTTCTGATGACACTAAACTAGGTGATGAGGTTGATATGTCATAAGGGAGAGCCATCTTGCTCAGAGACCCAGATAGGCTAGAAGAGTACAGTAGCAACATTGTAAAGATAAAGGCAACTGCAAGGTCCTATATCTGGGACAGAGTAAACAAAGAGTGCAGTACAAGTGTCTGGGGAATAGACTTGCTGAAAGGGTCAAGAGGGTCCTGGTGGACAATAAGCTGAACTTGAGTCAGCAGTGCAATGCTGCAACATGAAAGACAAACTGGATCCTGGACTGCCTCTGCAGGAGTATTACTAGCAGAGGTAGAGATGTGATCATACCACTTTACTCAGCACTTGTCAGGCCACACACCTGGAGAACTGTGTCCTGTTTTGGTCCCTGTAACTGAAAAAATACATAGAGAGACTGGAAAAGGTCTAAATCAAGGCCAAGAAGATGACTCCAGGGTAGAGAATCTGCCCTGTAGGGGAAGACTGAAGCAATTAGGTCTTGTATCTCTGGGAAAGATTCAGGGGAGGACCTCATCACAGTATTCCAGTACTCTACAGGTGGCTACAAAGGCAATAGAGATTTTCTCTTCACAAGAAGCCACACAGAGAAGACAAGGGCCAATGGGTAAAAGTTGCACCAGGAGAGGTTTCATCTTGACATAAGAGAATTCTTCTACAGAGAGAACCATCAAGTCCTGCAACAACTTCACCAGGAACACAGCAGAGTCTCCATCACTGGAGGTTTTCAAGATGCAACTGGACAAGGTGCTAGATAACCTCATTTAGGCTCCTTTACCAGTGAAAGGTTGGATCATACGATCTTTTGAGGTCTCTTCCAACCTGGAATGTTCTATGATTCTAAAACAAACAGTGGACACTAACAATATAATTTAAAAAAATAAAATAAATATACACCATCTTGTCTCTTAGACTGATTTTTTAGACTTCAGGACCTAATCTGAGGTCTTCAAAAAGGTCTTCCAGCAATAACAAACAAAACCATTTCCTGTTGGTTCTGTTCTGTATCTGTTCTGTATCTCACAGACAGTTCTATCTATATTTATCATAAATGAAAACAAAATTAAATACAAGAGGTTTCATATATAATTTGCAAGCTTGTGTACCTATGTAAACAGTCATCTCTGGATAAAACGGTGCCTGACTGACCTTCACAGATCTACATTTCCCTTTTTAAACCAAATCTATCTTCTTATTTCCAACAACAAATAGACTATGTTGAGAATATAACTAATGTTTATAGAGCAAATTAAACTATTTTCAGTTTTATTTCACTATGTTTATTTCCAGCCAGTTGATCTACAATTATTTTAGAAGCTCCACAAATCAGAAAAGTACTTAACAGTAAGAAAATTCTTCCATTGTTACTAAACATCAGCACTAGTATCACTAAAATGAAAATATTAAAACACAAATATATTTTTTTAAATAGAAAAGCAGAATTTAGCAGGAAAACATTAGAGAGACAGTTGTGAAGATACCTGCAAGTATGTAAAAGGAAGCACAAACAAACAGATGTATATTTTTGTACTGAAAACCTAGGGAGGAAAGAATTATTTATTCTGTGCCAGAAAAAATGCTTTCACTGCAGTATGGGTAAACATGAGATTAATAATTAGCAGTGAAACACATCAGATTAAAACAGTGTCCCATTACAGACCCTGAAATTTCAGTCACAAATTATTGTAACATTTTTCTAAGCATCTCCTGTCCTCTATTTTTACTCAAGCAATGGGTATTTGGGGGGGATGTGGAAATAATCTATATACATACCTAGTTCTAGTAAAATAAACTCACTCATTCTGATCAATGAAATAAGGCAGTAAAAAATACACATAAAAAGCTCCATCTTTATGAATTCTTTGCACTTGTGCATGTGTATGCAATCCAGAAAGAGCATATTTATGCATGCAAAGCATGCCACGGCCTCATTTGTTGAGAATCTTGTAGCTGAGGGGATTTCAAATCCTCCTATTTTACAGATATTATTAAAATCAGATACGAATTTAAAACATGTTCAAAGGTAAGCAAGATAACTGGGTTTCAGTAAATACCATTTTAATAAGCAACAGCAAAGACCAGATGACAAACAAAAAAACAGATGACAAAAAAAAGCCTGCCTGCCTTTTGGGCCTACTTGAATTCATATTAGATTACTGTGTATTATACAAAAAGGCCCAAGGGCTATTGTAAAAACTGCAATGGAAAAGATGCTAATTTGATTTTTAATTATTGAAAACATTCAGTAGACTCAGTTGCATCACTATGCCTCTTGAACTATTCCACTGATTTATAACACATTCAGGAAGGGAGAAGAATTAAAAAAAAACAGCAAACCACAAAACCAACTCACAACCCAAACAAAACAAATGAAAATCCTACAAACACTAGGATGCAAAGAATCTTGGCTTCCTCATCTTTTACTTAATCTTAAGGCATGAGGGAAAGGCAGTGTTTCCTACAATAAGTGTTTTATTGTAACAATGTTCCATTGTATTAATGACTACTGTGCCAAGGGAAAAAAAAATAATCAAAACTCCATGCATCTTATCATGGAAAGAAGCAGCAGCATTCCTGTTAACAGTGATTTACAGACCTATGCTACATAACATTCCAAAAGACCACACTTTAATTAGCCTTAGAGTGAGTCTTAACAGTACACTTGAAATAGTTTTGAGTGGAATTTAAGAAAAAATATCAACTATCAACCATTTAATCTTCTAAAGTTCACATCAGA